TGCCTATCTTATATACAACAAGTAGGGGCTATTCAAATGAATTTTGAAAAAGCTCATACATTAATTTATATGTTATATCTATTTAAGTATTTAACAATATCGACTGCATCTTTCATCCGCTTTCTCTTCCCTTTCCCAATCTGGTAGATATTTTGCCTCTCCAATCTGTATAGACTTAATCAATTTTCTATCTCCATGTGCATTTCATCACTTTTTTCATTCTCCTTAGATCTCTTGTTTAATTTCTCTTTCTACTTCATGCGTCTTACTATCTCTCTGGCACCCTTTCTCATTTAACTTATAAATATATAGACGAACTATTTACATATATATACATATAATTACATTAAATTGCGCACAGGTTTTTTTTATTTGTTAATAATCTCCATGCACAAGTTATTGCTATTTAAAAAATATAATATGCATATGAACAAATATATTAATAATAAGATTAAAATCCTTGATAAAAAATATAAATGATAATTTATCATACTGGTCCAATTTAAATATTTTAACTTCGACCAGGCCTTGGAGAAGACATTTTCGAAGAAAGAACTAAAATAACACAGAAGTTTACTTTCTAGCTCATCTAGCCTTAAGCGTCATGCCAAGTATTGTCATTACTTAAAATCATTGGATATCAAAAAACCATTAGATATCTTCTAAGAAACAATTTCGACATTTAAACGAAATCTTTTACTAATGATACTGGGAAGATCCTTAACTAATTTACAGTTTTTGTGGTCAAACCCAAGTAAGAAATGACCACCACAAAGGAACATAAATAGAACCATACACATAGTACATGCATGCAGGTTGTCAGATACCATCTCGCATATTAAAAGCACATCATGCAGAAATGACCTAATGTGTTCCTCTCCTAATTATGAGTTTTGCTGCAATATCCAAAATCAAAGTTGTGGAACATATTTTATTAGAATCGTTGGTAATCCATGCAATTAGTGTCTCCTCCATGAGAGTCTTGAACATTAAAACTAAATATTAAATAAACGACACTGCTAATTTTTAGTGTTTGGTACAGGTTGGCTATCACTGTACAACACAGTTTAACCATGGAAGTATTATTTGTCAATATTATACTTCCATGGTTTAACATAGAACCCTATGGGAAAAACCGAGAACTATTTTTGTCAGAAAACACTGTCAAACATCCAAATATACTATCCACACTGATCTGTGTCCACACTTTTATAGTTTTAAAATAAAACGAAAAACGCAGAAAGGGAGAAAAATCATTATTTTAAGGACAATTAGTATTAAGGAGTTGATTTCCAATTAAGTTATCTTAACATATTTGTCGCATCTGGGACTTACATGAATAATACAGTCTCTTGGTCACTTGTGAGTTTGAATATACCTTTGGTATTTTTCGCCTCTCTTAAGTAAATCTAGTTGTATAAAAGCAGTAAACTATGGCAAATATTTCTGGTATATGTAGCCATAGCTTTTGACGTATCTTAATGATCTTAAACGAGTAACAAATTCTTTAAATTTCTTTTGTTGAAATTGTATATTTTGTTTTACTGGATGATACTTAATCCTTGCGTTAAGTAGTTCTAGGTGAGGGATGGTTCTATTTCTTATTACACAAATTTATGCCACGAGTTATGTAAGATATTGCTACTTTTGTAATATACATAGTTTGGGCGTTTCTGATGAATTTATTGAATTCCAGAAAAGTGCGCTTCAGACCCACGCCATTTACAAAGTGTTGGTTTTATTTTACACTCATGTGTTTTTCAACGAGTCAGATACGTATGTATCATTTAATAATTATAGTTTTTCAATCAAAATGAAATTGCAAAAAACATCAACGCCTCCTTAGTTGTGATCAGTTGTCCAACTGGATAAATAACAGCCTGTCACGTACAATATAGTGTTATATCGTAACGCAAATTTGAAATCTACATTATTCAGTTGAAAAAAAGCCTATTGTATAGTAAAAAGTGTGAACTAATATCAAATAAGGTAGTGTAGTCACAATCGTTTTATACGAAACTACTTCTTCAAAGCAGACAGTACGATAAGGACACTTTTTGCCCACTTGAATTAAAATTAAATGGTTTTATAAATCTTTGAAATAATATAAACTTTCAGAAAGTTGATGCATGAATTGTTAATTTTAAACAAGAAAAAAAAATATGGACATTGTTGAAAGGTATTGTCCATGTTTAAAAATGTTAGCTGCTTCTACTTTTAGTGGGGTTCGTGTTCCTTAGTCTTTAGTTTTCTCTGTGATCGACACTGTTCTCACCTCAAGGACAAATATGTTGTTGTCCCTGTAGAAAAAGTCACTCACAATGCGTTTTGTGTAAATACCCTATATAATCTGCTCGGTATCAGAATTAAGTATTGATATTTCAAAGGGAAACCGAATATATACTCAATAATCAAACGACATTTCATTAAATGGAAATCCTATATAATCGAAGGCCTGTTTCGTGTTCCTTTTACATTTCAACCAAAGATGGAGAGCTGAATATCCCACATACATAAGTGTTCCTGTCAAACATCATTGAAGTGCCAGGTCTGAAAAATTCTTAACCTCTCTGCAAATTATGAAACCTATTTCATCAGCAATTAAACAAAACGGATACTTCTGACACTAATGGAGGTGTATATCTGATGTGGATACTAGAAATTCAAAAGATTATTTATCTTCGCCCTCCCCCTTTTCCCCTTATTGAAATGCATTACAAAGGTTAAGATTGAGCACTTACATACTTACATCTACTTATGGTTGCGGTTTTATTTTTCGTCAGTACAGTTGCACTATCAATTCATCAAACAGGTAACATATTGCACTGTATTTGGTATTTATGCATCTTATAAACAAGCTTAATATAACCACAATCATATGTTAATGCCTGTGACAAATCATTGATTGTCTTTCCATTTGTCTTTCCGTTTGTCTTTCAAAGAATTTTGTGTTAATATCTATTTAATTTGTTCAGCATTTGTCTAGACAATTTTCTCTATTTTATTGCATTTCCTTTATTTTATTATTTCGTAAGAATTTTGTTTGTGTTTTTATTTATGTTTCATTAATAACAATAATGTACATAGATTCAATCTGCAAGCAATTTTAAATTTTAAATTTCTAAAAGTGATAATTCCAATCCAGCTTTATAAAGTTAACAAAATTATAAAATTGTGTTTTAAATCATTTTTATATGCTTGACTGACGTTGTAAGTTTAATTATTTTGTGTGGTATTTTTTAGGGAGGAACGTCAATTCGTTGATTTATAGTTTTAAGCTAATTGTTTTTTTTTCCATTATTGAAATTCTGTACAAGTATGTACTAGGCATTGCACAAGATCATGTCTGCAGTACTTTGTACTGTTATGACTTTGCTGTATGAGAACTACCATGAAGTACAGTCGCCAATATTAGAGTTTGGACGACACGATTTCATATGAGTACGGTGAGTACTTTGAGCATGCCTTCAGTGTAACTGCAAGCCATCTTTGGTACAGTATTGCTTATTATTGTTTTGTTTGTACTTGCCTCTCAGGTCACTGAGTGAAAAACAAGTTATCCCCTTATAAAGGAATTTTAAAATCAATTGAAAAAAGTGTTACCGGGTCAAGAAAGAAATGTGCGATAGAAATCCTTTTTATTATTATTTTGTTTTAGAAATTATGATTAAATGACGGTATGACCATCTTTCTACTGTGTTTGGTTATAGTACCGTAAAAACCTTCATTTTACATCACATTTTTTCTTTAAAATCAAAAGCCTTTTCGAAGAGTTTTCAAACATGTGGTTAAAAAAATTATGATATAAATATGCCTTTCAGTCCACGTGTGAGTGAAAAAACAAGTTATCTGCATTATATCCCCTTATAAAGGATTTTTTTAATTCAATTAAAAAATACAATTTGTTAAAAAAAAATGTTACTAGCACATTTATTCATTTAAATGAAAGATCCTGTAAAGATGTATATATATTATTGCTCTTCAGTATCAAAATTGGCTTTTCCAACCAAACAATTTCGATACATATCTTAATAGGCCTCTACTAGAGGATCATTTGACAAAGTGTTAATTCATTACATTAACATAATAATAATTGACAATATATCTATATATTTGACCCCTATGTTCTATTTGTATGTAGTAAAATTTAAAAACGGGTCAACCATGTTAAAATTAAAGATTGAGTTTCGCTAAACTTGTTGTAAACTGGTGCTGTGTTTTTAATAGAAAGAGCTTTTTGTAGAATTTAACGACGACGACAACGGACGAAGAGATGGAAATATATCACGTTACCTTAATGATATAGGTAAGCTAATAAATGTTTATGAACAGCAAGACTCCACCTTAACTCAAAGTAGGTTAACAATATATTAATACACTAGCAATATATGTAGGAATTGTAAGTACTCATTAAAAGTTTCTTACAGTGTACAAACTATCTACTAGGAAGACTGAAAACATCAGTCAGCTGTTGTAAAAAAATAAAATTCCAAGAATACATGTGAAATTTAAAAAGGTACATGTAGGTCAATAACTGGTAAAATTAAATGCAAAATCGCCTAATATTTGTTGAGGGGAGACATTTTATTTACAACTTACGAGTGCACAAAGATGAAAGAAGGTATAAGATCCAATAATACTAAACATGCAACCAATTTTCCAGCCTCTCTCTCTCTCTCTCTCTCTCTCTCTCTCTCTCTCTCTCTCTCTCTCTCTCTTCGTATGGGTGCTATATACTAAGCTTCCCTATGAACTTATTTTAAAAAATTAGAACTATTTCTCTCTCTCTCTCTATTTGTGAACGTATGGATGCCATATACTCATCTTCCCTATGAACTTTTTTTTAAATTATAATAATTAATTTCTTACGTGGCACCAGAATAGAATCGAAATGACAATTCACTTTCAAAAATCAGCTATGATACACAAAAACAGATGGGAAGGCGACCAAACAGGTTAAATTACAAAGAAAACTTAACTCTCAAAAATGGTTAACTTACCCCTTAAGCTCTCGGATTTTTAGAACTTATTTAAATCTATGAATCGCCTCTTATTCATTTTGCATGTTGTGAACGTGCAACGACATAAATAATGTGGACAAGAAAGGATTACAAATAGCGTCAATAGCATTGTATACGTCGATGCCTCATTACAAGTCATTTAACATATATATTTCATACATATGTTGGCTAAACAATGCAGAAATCAATTCTTCAAAAAAGATTAAGAAAACAATTGAGTTAATACATGTTATAGGTCTTGGCATAATAAGATTCATTTCAGTATTAGACCGATTTTTTTGATTTTTTATTTCCGAAGTACCTTTGTTCACCACGAGCTTTAAGAGGGGTTTGTGCTGTTCATTCTTTACTTGTCCCAAGCCAGGAGCCTGTAATTCAGTGGTACATGTAGCCGTCTGTTGCTGTATATCATATTTGGGTTTCGTTTGTTTTGTTATTTTGTAGTAAATTATACCGTTAGTTTTCTCATTAGAAGTGAACTCTGTGCGAGACTTTGTCATTCCAGAATTGACTATTCTGACGTTGTTGTTCTACAAGATAAGAGAAATGTTTTTTTTTTTTGCCAAGTGAAAGATCATTAATAAAAATTAATTTCCCATATATCCCAATATGTCACTGTTATCACTATAGCTGATTAAAAGTACATATCCCATGGGAAATTTAAGAATTCCCAAGGAAAAACAAAGAATGCAAAAAGTTTCCATTGGAATATATAACATTCCTATTGGAACAATTTTTCTTCCCATAGGAACATTTATTTTTCCTATGGGAAAATTTTTTCTTCCAAAGGGAACAATTTCTCTTTCCATGGAAACAAATTTCTAATGGGAATATTTTTTTCCATTTGAATGTTTTTTCTCCCAGAAATATTGAAAATTGTTGAAAAACAGAATTTATGTTAAGCTGGCAAAATATCAATATGGTTTCGTATAGAAAGTTGCACTAAACATGCAACTTCCACGGAACTCTGAATATCCAGTAAAATATGAAGCAATGAGAAGTTAGTTTTTAAATTAAGTTGTTTGTGCGTGTTGTGATTAAAAAAAATGTTCTTTCGCAATATTCATGCACACTTTGATTCTTCGGTTAAATATTATTCAATTGTTTCATAAACTTGAATATCCTTTCAAATGCTGACTGCATGATAAGAAAAATATATATTAAGGGCATTATTGTGTCATTGAAGGATTTCAAATATCTTATTTGCGTCGACTTGTATGAAATTCCTATCAAAAATACTGACAAAATGTATGTCACCAACGATATTTGGAAATAAGTATGAATAAGAGCAGATAAAGGTATAAATCAACGAAACAGCAATCCAACAACACAAAATAGCTTATGCAGTCATTTTAAAAAATCACCAATAGTTTAAATAGAGACTAATTACCATCAACACTATATAAGATTAAAAACATTAAGACATGGCAAATGATAACCCTGATTGCCACTGGCAAAGTTCCAGGTTTGGGACAGGACCATAAAGATATGTTGGGGATAAACTTATTAAAAATGTATCCTTATAGGGAAACAATTTATCGATGGCAGAGAATGTAAAGTGCTTGATAAATATATATAAAGAAAAATGTTCAAACAAGAACAATAATTTTATCTTATCTGGAAATATGAGAAACAGCAGTGACTGTATTTTTCTCCTCTTTTTAACTTGCTGGTGATATGTATATATTGATATTTCTCTTAGGTTTTTCATTTTTCATTGTCTATTAGTATAATTACAACAAATTGTAAGTTCTAAAATAAACCAAATACTTCCACATAGCAGAATTTATTACACAAAATAAGATTCATACATTACATTACAGTTGTATTGTGCATATTGAAAGTTTGTTACTTTTTTAATGTGACTTTTTTTCGTTTTCTATCAACGTACATAACACTGGAATACAGTAGTTCATGTGACAAACATTGTGGTCCTCTTTCAAAATATTTGGACAGTTTAAAAATTTCAGACTCCCAATAAGTCTTATCATAATACAGATACAAAGCGAAGTGTGAACACACTGTCTGTATTGTAATCAGTTTAACTTTAAATTAATTGTAGCAACGATTGTTCTCAAAGAACCGATTGTAACGCTGAACTGTTTCTACATTTGGTCTGTCATGTCGGAAATTACAGAATTACTTCACAGTCAGATCATGGTGCAAGCAATTCAATCTCACCATGTCACCAATTGTTAAACATATAAAATGAAACAATTACTTACTACCAACATATACTGTTCCTGTATGATTATACAAACCGAAACCACTACTACATGAGGGGGTGGACACGCATTTTGGATGTGAGACGGATATAGGGGTCATAGAGAGTGGCTATATGGGATAAAGTTGATAAAAAAAATGGCAATGTGGGATATAGTGGTTAAAAAAGTGGGGATGTGTGACAAAGGAGGTAAAAAGAGTAAGGATGTTGGATATAGGGAGTACAAAAAGTGGGATTTGAGGAAAAGAAGGGACGTGGGAAAAAAATTACCAAAGCAGGATTTGGGAAATGAGCACCCCCGTGTAAACCTCTCTAACATAACAATTGATGTATGTAGACTCGATCCGAGCCAATTGTTCTGGTCTAGATTCTAAGGATGGTGACTACATGTAGCAGAAATTCACTGCCGAGGTCTGTATTATTATCCATTATGTAATACACACAGTATATGGTTTCGTTATAAATGCTCAAATGTGCAAACACGCGTTTCAGAGAACCAATGCAACAAATTAAATTTATAGGATTAAGTTTTACATTCAAACCTGTTCAAGGAATGTAATACTGGACAAGAACAAGTCAAATATGGAAAAAATCTTACATCACGAAATTTGTTTAAAGAATAGTTCAAAAACATGTGACAAAATGACGGTTATATGACAGAAGATAGCGCAATTGCAGATGGATTGGTGGGTATTTGTTTGCTTAACGTTCAGTGGCAAGTATTTCATGCATATTCAGGACCAAACTAAGTTGGACAGACGACAAAAGTGAAATGGTGACAAAGTCATTGTTCAAAATTTATTTCCGAGTTTAATAAATCTTCAAATTAAACACGTTTTAGGAATTCGTATATGTATTAATAAACAAAAACCAGATTATTTTGCAAAAAGAATTAATCTTACTCTTACTTATTTTACAAAAAGGATAGGTCAAAACCGAAAGAAAATGAACCCGGCGTTTCAAACCTTGAAAGAAAACTGGAAATAAATGGGAAATTAAAAAAAATATATATCAATCAAACAACATTGAACTTTCCATCTAAGGAAAATAATGCTGATATTTCTCTTTTGATGACAAGCCCACAGTAGCAACAACATCATTATTCTATACATGGTCAAACAAATATTACAATGTCATTGCCAGTGTTCAAACATCATCACCCACAGGTTGCCGATTGGAGAAAAGTGACAGATAGCCACACCTAAATTAAACTGATGTCCAATCAACTGCTTTCAAAAAAATAAATTACATAAATTACATAAATCAAACATGGATAAAGTAACAGAGATTTGGTTGCGTATTCAATATTTGAAAAAGTTAATATAGTTATCATTGTCAGAGACAATTGTATTATATGTATATTATATGTATAAGTTAAATTGTGGGAAATTGTTGTGTACACCCCCCCCACCCTATTTTAGACTCTCTATTTTAACAGAGAAATACAAAAGAAAATTCATACATAGTCTTGCAATTCCTGGGATCGTCATAGTTAAAGAGATGGCATAGCTAGATAATAAAATTGTCACCTACCTAGTGCAGAAAAAATCATCAAATTCAATAACTTTTGCAAATTGGAGAAATTTGACGAGTTCTATATCCGTACCAGAGACATATAATACAATTTGTATTATTATATGTCGTCCGTACAAGATGTCATTAGCAATTATTTTAAATAAAAAAAATCAAATAGTTCTTTTATCTGTATATGCAATCGGGAAAAAAAAGTCCTTTAAATCTTTGATCTAGTTGCAAAAGATGAATAATGAAATTAGAATGTTCTTTCAAACTGTAAATTATCAAAAGACAACCTGAAGACAGCCTAAGGGTAAAATACAAGTTACATGTATATTGACCTGAAAGATTACAAAAGAAAAAATCTAATAAGACTTTCAGTGATGTTTGCGAAAATGAAACAATTTTTTTTTTTTTTTTTTGTAGACAAAAAACAAATTGAATTAAGAAATTTGATCGAATGAATGAAATAAACTTTTAAAAGAATCAGTGCGCATTATTTCTTATCAAAGTGGCGAAAAACACGCATATCGAGTTACGTGGATGAAAAAGAATCACTAACAATTATGATGTCAATGTACATAAATTCATACAGATTTATCAATTTTTTATCTATAAATTACATTCCGAAATACACAGACTTGGCTCTGATCGTTGGCCGTTTAGCGAACAATTCTACATGAAATGCAGAATAATACCAATCGAAAGCAAAAGCGAAAGATTTAATATGTAGAATCAGAGCATTCCTTAAATTCAACTTTCAAATTATTTTTTGGAAAACAGCAGCATACATGTTTTAATTGAATTATGAATGCGATTGATGTACTTATTATTCCTAACAGTTAGTAATGGAAGTCTCGGCATCGTGCTCTCCCCGAGTTCGGGAGGTTTTTTGTTCAACAACTCAACATTCTCAATCGAGATTGGTATTTTCTTTTTTTCCACAAGCACTCAGTATTAATGAGTAAAGTTGGAACATAGGTTACATAAAGTCTTAACTTTATGTAAAATATTGTATTTAATAATTTATTTAATAGTCTCTCATAATTCTTAATAGAATGGCGCTTGTATATGTTTTAGTATTTAAGCTAATGATATTTTACTGTTAGTATAAATATACTATATGTTTTATATATGTATTCGAATGTTTTATGGTATACAAGTGGTGTGACTTTGATAAAATATTGAATCTAGGTTCTAGGTTAATTTGACTTGAATTCACAATAATGTCTTCTGGTAGACATAACATATTGCCGACATAGCTCTCACCGTTTCAGTCTAGAACAAAACAATGCATATTCATCTCACTTTTATATGTCCCTCGACACACATG